GTGTGGATATCCTCCTTGGGCACCGCCTTCTTCACCTCCACGCGGTGGCCCTGGATCGGGTGGAACTTGACCACCGCCGCCTTGTCGGCCGCGTCGTGGCTCTGGAAGTAGACGAAGCCGAAGCCGCGCTTCTTGCCCGACTGCTTGTCGGCGATGATCTCCGCCTTCTCCACCGCCCCGAACTGCGAGAAGTGCTCGATCAGGTCGCCCTCCGCCACGTCGCCCTTGAGGCCGCCCACGAACAGCTTCTTCACCTTGGCGTGCGCCCCGGGCCGGGCCGAATCCTCGCGCGACACGGCGCGCTTCAGCTCCACCGTGTTGCCGTCCACCGCGTGCGGCGACGCGGCCATGGCGGCGTCCGCCTCCTCCACATTCGAGTAGGTCACGAAGCCGAAGCAGCGGGAGCGCTTCGTCTGGGGGTTCACCACCACCACGCAGTCCGTCAGCGTCCCGAAGGCCTCGAAGTGGCCGCGCAGCCCCGACTCACTCGTCTGCACGTTCAGGCCGCCGATGAACAGCTTACAGAGCTGAGAGTTCTCCATGTCGGCCGCCCGGGCCCTGCCCCCGCCCTGCGCGCTCCGCGGCGTCGCCGTCGCCGTTAAGCGGTCGCCGAGGCCTCGTCGGAGCCCGGGCCCGGCCGCCGCCGCCGCCGGCGGGGATAGGGGCGGGAGGGGGAGGGAAGGGGCGCGCTGCCGGCCCGAGGGCGAGCCGAGGACGCTGGAACCCTACCAGGGCCGCCGCGGCCGCCACCTCCGCTCCCGTATCAGGACACCACACAAAGAGGCCGCTGAAGGCGCGCGCACCCTCCCCGCGCCGTGCGTCACAAGCGACGCCGGGCCGCCGGCCAATCGCCTCCGCGCTCGCCTTAGTCCCGCCCACCGCGCCGCAGCGCCGCTCTAGGCCGCGGCCTCCCCGCCCTCCGCGGTTTCCGTCCGGCCCTCGGGCTCCTGGGCGTCCGCCGCTCCTTCCGCCTCCGCGCTCGCACTCGACGCGGTGCCGCAGTAACCCCGAGACAACCCGCCAAAGCCCTCCGCGCGTATCCGCGGAGCGTTTCCTGTCAGTCGCGCGGCTGTTCCCGTAGACCTCCCTCCCTCCCCTCGCCGGATTCCCCAGGCCCAACTCCGCAGTGGCGTTCGCGCCAGCCCCTTGAGGGACGTGTGCGGCCAGCCAATCAGCGACTGGTCCTCGAACCCACTTCCGTTTTCCGCTGCCGCGGGACGGCCGCGGTCCTCACGAGTGCTGGCCCGGCGCCTCCTGTGCGGAGCCGGCTGTCCCCCGCACGCCTCGTCCTCGCGCGCCCTCGCGGGAATTCTGGCCGTTCCCAACGGATCAGCCCGGGGCTCCGCGCGGGCTTTTTGAAAACTTGACTGTTGGGGCCGGCCGGCCGGCACCTGGCGTCACCTCCCCTCGGGCGGCACAAAGATGGAGGGCCGAGGCCTGACCCCAAGGCGGTTAATGGCCGTTTACGGTGGGCTGGTGGCTCGATTAAACTAATGTGACTCTTGCCCCGTGCCACTCGGCCCGCTGAAGCGAGCCCGTGAGAAGTAACAGCACCAAAGCCCTTCAGATCGGGTGACCCGCACAAGGCCCGAGCCGGGCCCGTGGTAGCCGCTAGCGACGCTCCGCCCTGTGACTCTGCAGCAAGCTCCTGCGGACATGTTCAGTGCGAGCCAGCCAGGGTTTGGTCGGCCCCATCTGTACGCTGCTAGCTCTGAGACGGGCTTTATCCAGCCCAGGCTGACCTCGAACTCGTGGGACATAGTCTCCCAAGCACTAGATTACGAGCATGTTCTATGAAGTTTTATATTTTTATTGCGCTCTCACTGCCATCCCTCCTGTGGTTTGGGAGTTAAACCCAGGGGCCTTCACTAAAGTAGAAGCAGTGTCCCCAGACACCCCGCCCGTTACTTCCCGTATCCCTCATTCTGGGGCACCCTTGTGCCCTGCAGCCAGCTTCTACTGGGCTGCCAACTTCACGAATACAAACATACAGCCGTTTGCCAACTTTATCCGTATAACTAGATAAAATGTGGGACTGTGCTTAGTGTTCACAGACAAGATCTCGATTTCTACAATGTCTTAGGGTTTCTATTGCTGAAAAAAAAAAAAAAAAAAAAAACCACCGTGACCAAAAAAGCAAGCTGGGAAGGAAAGGGTTTATTTGGTTTACACTTCCATCATTGGAAAAAGTCAGGACAGGAACTCAGGCAGGACTGGAACTGGGAAGAAGGAGCTGATGGAGAGGCTGTGGAGGGATGATGGGATGATGCTTACTGGCTTGTTTCACATGGCTTGCTCTGCTTGCAACCAAGACCGCACTCACTACCCACAATGAACTAGACCCTTCCCACTGATCACTAATTGAAAAAAATGCCCTCCTGCTGAATCTCATGGTGCTTCCTCAGCCGAAGTTCCTTTCTCTCTGATGACTCTACCTTCTGTCAAATTGACACACAAAACCAGCCAGTACATGGAACAGGGAAAATGTAATTTTTTTGGGGGGGGGGGGGTCTATTTTTAAAATAAACTAGATGGCCGAAGAGATGGCTCAGTGGTTAGCAGCGCTTGCAGCTTCCAGAGGACCTGAGTTCTGGTCAGTTCCCAGCACCCAGGTCAGGGCTTCAGGCTAATTGAAGCCCTGGCCTCCACAGGCACCTGCATTCGTATGCATATGCAGACACACACCTACACATAATTTTAAGAACATTTTAAGTAGTAAAGTAATTTTTAAGATTAACTCTATTGCCCCAAAATTGCGTGCCAGGATTTGATAGAGGTGGCAGGGTGGGGGTGGAGTGTGCATCGCCGTGTTTGAACACTGGAGGGCTAAAATATCAGCACAGCAAGCAGGAAGCTCAAGGGGAGGAGTTATTTTGGTGTAGGTCTGCAGTTACAGATGATTGAGAGCTACCGTGTGGGCGCTGGGAATCAAACCCAGAGCAGCCAGTGCTGTTCACTTCTGAGTCATTTCTCTGGCCTTGGGTCTTTATCTTTGTATTGACTTTGTTTTTTTGACAATTTATGACTATTCTCTTCCATCCCCGCCAACCCAGCTCACTCTTATCGGTCCCTTCCTCAGATTCACGATGGCTTTATTTGTAACCTTTTAGTTTATCCAGGGCTATCTTTTGATTATTGGGTTGAATCTATGCACTGGAGCCTGATGGGGCCGCCCGTGGGTACACACAGGCAACAGCCCCCTCTTCTTGAATATGCCAGTGGCAAATAGGTCAAAAGCAAGGGTAGGAACCCACGAGTCCCTAGGCCACCCACGCCTCACTGTGGATGGGTCCATTCTTGGGGAGACCTCACGTAGGCATCCACAGCTGCTGTCAGTTGTGATTACAACAGCTGTGCCTGGACTAGAAGACGGTATGTAACAGTCCTTCCTGTCGTCTAGCTCTCAGGACTACACACATACACACACACAAACGTTTCCTGAGCCTTACAGGGCATTATACCAGACTCTTTATTATGGTGCTTCAGTAAACTCTATTTTCTCCTACACCAGAAGGGCCTTTCTTCCCCTCGTGATCTAGAAAGGGTTAAAGCAAGGCGGTAGCTCAGGCCCACATGCTGTGTCAGCTGAGAGACACTCCCATGCCACCCTCCCTGGTATGGTAACATTAGGACCACTAAAGTTTCCTTCTAGGGATCTTTTCTTACCCTCACCTAGCAGTGCAGCTGACCCGGTAGCAGGATGAAAGGAGCAGCAAGCAACAGTGACACCCCAGGAATTAGCACACCCGGTCTTAGAAAGCCAACCTACCAGCTGCTTGACAGCTGAAGCAATAGCACCTGCAATGTTAGGAGTGGCCAGAGGGGCGGAGCAGAAGGAGACAAGGTTGAGAATGAGGAAGAAAAGGCTATCAATAGCCACAGATCAATAGCCACAGAGTAGGAAGTGCAGGCTCTGGTCACCAGGAGAGTTCCTCAGCATTATCAAGTCTTTAGAGACACCCAGGCCCACAGCCGTACCACTGGGTGCTGTCAAAGGCTGAGGGATAGATACCATGCCTTCAGCCCACATAGAGCTGTAGCACTCATATCTGGGGCCTGCAAGGAGCCTGACCCTGAGAGGTGCCACCCACTGTGGCTTCCACCTCATGCTGCTCAGGCTTCTCCTCAGCTACTTACAATTCCCATAGTGCACAGTGCAGAAGGACCCTTGAGCCAGCCAGTCAAAGGTGGTATAGATGGATGATCCTCCAGGAACATTCCTGTAGGTCAAAGCTGGCCTTCATACTCTCGTAACCGAAAACAGCGGAAAATGCCAGGAGACAAACCCAGAAGATAAAGGAGCTATCATATGGACCAGATTCTCTACCATTGAGGTCCTAATGGATACAAGATGATTCCTGTAGGACAATGAAAGGACAGCATGGTTTCTGGTTGAGCACCAGCTGGAGATGGCCGGAGATCCCGCAGGTTTTCCTGCAAGGAACAGCATGCATTTCGCCAAACTCCCAGACTCCAGGCTCCTGACGTGAGGCCACAGATCTCCAAGTATCCAAGCCTTCCAGGCACTTAGGACTACACCCACTAGCCCCTCCACAGGTAGAGGGCATGACTACAGGCCACACAGCCTCAAGACAGATCTCCATATTCATGAGATATCTAAAGGACAGAGGGTGTCGCCAATTAAGCATTCCTTCCCAGACCCTCCTCCTTGCAAAAGGTATTTAACCTCAGGCCTGCCCTGAGAATACTGCGGTATAGCTTCACCCATTTTCTGCCATGACAATAAATATCTTAAGACCATAGCCTATTTCTCTTCTTTGGGACCTGCCATGGGGAACTGTGGAGAAGGTTTTCAACTACCAAGCCACCGCCTAACCTCCGATGGACAACCTCTGTACGTTCTCAGCCATGGAGGCCCAAAAACCCAAGCAAGCTGAGGCAGCCATGACCCAGCCAAGCGAGTCCAGAGCTTCTCCCCTACACCTGGCACCATGTGGAGTGAACACAGTCAAATTCCAATGCCTCTGCCTCTCTGAGTCATGGCCCTAGCCCCTTGGGGGAGGGGGCAGACACAGGGCCCACAGTTCAACCCAACAACCGACCCACACACACACTACAACCCGACAGATTCCCTGGTCTCTCCTTGTGTCTTGCAGATGCCCACTGGAATCTTACTCAAAACCTTAGACCAGAGGTTCTCAACATGTGGGTCATGACCTACCTGGGGGTCACCTAAGACCATTGGGAAACATCACCATTCATAACGGTACCAAAATTACAGTTATGAAGTAGCAACAAAAATAATTTTATGGTTGGGGGTCACCACAACACGAGGAACTGCATTAAAGGGCCATTGCATTAGGAAGGTTGAGAACCATTGCCTTTGACTAAGTATGATACTTCTTGCTAAATCTTTACAAGGATCAAAATGGTTTTGTTGGGTAGCAATATCGTCTGAGACAAAACCTTCCAACTTTGAGGGAAGCTCCTTAAGACACCGGTGAAGCATTCTGTCCTGCAGAGAAGTCCCTTAAACTCAGAAAACAAATAACTTCAGGAAGTCCCTGAAATTCACCAGTTTCACTAGGCTTCTCCCTCCCCTGAGAACCTGTAAGG